TCGGGGGGGGGGGGGGGCAGCCAAATAGAACACAAGTCTTGAATCTGGACAAGTAAGTGTCTGAAAGGAAGGCTCCAAATAATGCAAGAAGAAATGCTGTTCCCATGAAGTTTGTAACAGCAGTTGCTGATTTTGTTATGCTGAAGTTCATAAATCCATAAAAGTAAGTCACCAAACTCACACCAGTTGCTAAGAAAGCCATGACATCGATTCCCGCCATAGCTGCATGGTTAAAAGATCATAATATTATTAAGAAGAATTAACCAATAACCGCACACCTAATTTCCTAAACTAAAAATAGTAGCCAGATGTATAATATATATATATTATTCACGTATAATATGTGTATTGATCACGCCCAACTATGCCTTATAAAAAGGACTCTGCGGACGTTGCAAATATAACCTGAGTATTACGCCCAGGGTCGAATCCACAGAGAGTTAACCTATCAACCACTATCTTCAGACCCACTAATTCTTCAGAACCAGCTTCCCAAATATTCAAATCTCAGTTGAGTGTTCTTTAACAACTAGCTTGCAAGTAACTAAATAGCTGTAAACTAAACTAATAAGGTTGTAAACAATTATGAGAAAAATGCTAAGGCAATGATTTCTCCTATTGATGGAATCCCTTCTGTTTATGCTCATACAAATTTACCAACACATCTCTATCAATCATGAACGCTAATCTTACCGTAAATCTCTCCCGAGTAATCACAGTAATTTACTATTGCACTCTCCCGAGATACACTAGCTTACTTTATTTAGCACGATTCATTTTAGATTACACCCAAGGCTTCGTTATCCCTAATCCCGCCTTTAAACCCGCAATTATAGATTCCTCTAATAATCTAGGAGTGGTGTTGTTCAACAATACCCTAAATATGCACTCTTTTCCAAGTTATGCACACTAAATAGGCACAGCTAATTGAGGATCCTGTCAATTAACTACAACAGACACGAAGTTGAACAAATAGAGATTAAACTAGCAATTTGTATTCACATAAACAAGAAGTTCATCACCCAATAGGTTCCATCAAAACCTTAGACAAGGAATTTAGCTACTCATGGCTATGGAAAAATAAACTAAGATTGAATTCATCATAAAAAACAAAAGAAAGGAAGAAAGATGGTTGGAGTATTCTCTCACAATGGTTTTCCTTGCTAAGAAACCTTAAAAATCAATACATGCCTCTCTTGGGCGAAGTCTAATGTTTTAAATAGGGTTTAGGTCTAAAAATCCCGTGTTTTACACTTTGGTCCCTGAAGTTTTCGGCTTCCGCCGCGGTTCTGCCGCGGTCACGGTCAGACCGCGGCCAAAAGCCTTCTCTGATTCTGAAATCATCCGCAGCTGTCTTCCCTGTGCTCTGAATCTTCGGCCTGTTTTGCATGGTTCACTTGGGAAATTTCACAGTTGCCCTCTTTTTTCATCAATTTTGACTCCAAAACTGCTCCTT